AATTATATTAATCACTTAGCTTTAATTGATATATCAAATCGTATAGAAAAGTAGACCCATGAAAAGAAAAGTAATTTAAGAAAAAATCGTATCTAGGATGCGCTATCATATTTGATTAGATGGATCATGTACCCTGTAAATTGCTAAGTAATGGCTAAGGTTAAGAAAGAATGGAATCAAATATGACAATCAAAAAACATCAGGACACTATTATCTCACTAGCTCACTATCTTGAGCAGGAATGCCTTCGGATTCAACCAGCCAATCAAGAATAGCAAGACGATCTGCGGATCGTACTGGCAAGACGTAATGCCGTAGGCCAGGAGGCAATTTGCTGGTTGCGATTTGTGCAGCCACTCGCAATTCTGTAGGCGTATTGGCTATTGATGACTTGCTCTTAGAGTCGACATCTATGAAGAAACTTGAGCTAACGGCGCAGGCATTCTTAGCCAAAGCGACTCGACGGAGTTTGGCAACATCTTTAGTCATTGTAGCCGAATATAGGTGAATTTGGGGATGGGGGAATTTGTCAAATATCTTATCCTTTTTACCTGCAAAGAACAAAGAATGTTTAGAAATGTATTTGGAAAACACGGTAAAATAATAAAATAAGTAAGGGCAAAATTTTAACAAAAAAGATAACTTCTTTCGCATGGGATCGTTTCAATAAAGATATATATAAAATTATGGGAAAGGTCAGCTATCAATCCTTCCTCACGTTAAATAAGATTTTATATCAGCTATATTGATAATCTCAACTACTAGTCTTTCATCACAATAAATAGAATGAGGTGAATACAGCTCATTCGCATACACTGAAAAATTGTAATTTTATGCCATCATCGTCTACCTAAGTAATAAAGTGCAATGTATAAGATGGAAGTAATGAAAAGAAGTAAGATTGGAAAAGGAAATTTAATATTATTTTTTCGTATGAGAGTAGGGTTTCGAGACTACCAGTAAATCGGTATAATGAGATGTATTCACGCTATTTCGTCTAAGATGATGGACTGGTAGTAGAATTTTCCCACAATGATATCAGTTGAGCTGACTTTTCCATA